GAATTCACAGAGCTATAGAACAGCTTATCCACATCATTCACTGTTACTACAGTAAAGGAAATTAAGATTATATTGCAATGTATCCAACTCCCTCCCCTAAAAAAGTCACCTAAAGCATAATGTTCTTTAAAGCAATAATAAATTTATTCCATACGTTTCTCAAACAAAAATATTCTGGAAAGCAAAAAGCACAGGTGGAGTAAATTTGTATATTAAATACAGATGATGGAAGAAAAATCTGGCAAACTCACTTGGTACAGTTTGTCTTTTCCTTCAGTCCAATCCCAACTGGCAAATGTTCCCTAGTTAAGCTAGTTCCCTGCAAAAGTTTATTTGCATTTTGCCAGTTGACACCGTTCTATATTTTGTTACCTTGCTACAACAGATAAATTCACAAAAATTCTAGTGACTAGTTAATTGGATTAATGCAATCATCCCCTTCTAGTAGTACATCTGACAACATAATTTTCAGAAATTAGGTCATTTAGTAGAACGATGCAAGAAAACTCTGAAAACTGATGTTATCATCACAAAGAGGCAAAACTACCCTGCTATTAGTGATAGAGGGAACTGCAGCATAACACCGAATCACCAACATCGACTCTGCCTGTTCTGATTATTTATCAGAAACAGCAGATGTTGTGTGCACTCCACTGCATTTCTGATGAGCTGTCACAGGGAATGGAGAGCACCAAAATCCACCTCTCTCCAGCAACTGCAGGGAGGTCTTTTGGGTCACCTTCATTAACTACTGGGTGTGGTAGGAAAAGGTAACTGCAAAAATGGAAAGGAAAAGCCAGAGCCAGTGAACAATCATGATGATAACGTGATGGTTTATGTATGATTGCTTCCCCCATTTTTTCCCTGTGTGGCTGGTCTACTACCGTTTGTCAGACACATGCTACCATTCAGACACTAATGAGAGACTATACTCTTCCAAAGTAAGTGTTGTGGAAGTCATCCTATGGCCTGGATTTTCATGTAAATTAGCTTTATATAATGTTTCTAGAAGCCATAACCCAAACTAGAGCAGATAGTTGTCATCAGAGCTCTGGCATTACTATTCCATACCATTCAGAAGTTCATTGCTGTCTGGGCAAGTTTTGAGAGGCTCCATTTGTCTTAGAGATTCTATTAACTTTACAATATGTGAATGGAGATATATTTTATTTGTGATGACCTCTGTTATTAAGTTGAACCATCAAATGTTCTACTCCACTTTGTTGCTTAATTCTTTATAACAGATATTGGAGGGCTGCTTACATATATTCACAACCATCACACATATACTTGGAGTCCATGTAGTCTAGGACAGAATTTTTACAGCCACAGTAAAGGAAAGATATACATGACAATTGTCTATGTATGCTATCCCAGTAGCACCTCTCTACTCTCAATAAACACAGACTCAACACCAGCCATTAAACTATCAATTTTTTAGACTGTCACAACCTGTCCACCCTCACTTCTACAGGGGTTCAGTTCATAGTTAAGTGAGAATGAGGAATATGTAACTGCTGTAGATCATATATTGTCATTAAGAGACCTTAACAATCATCTTGCAACCAGAATGCTTTATATGAGGTAATTTATTCTCCAGCTGTGTGTAGAACAAGATGTTCTGAAATCATCCTGTGGTCAGTCGCATTTCCCATCAGTGTCATACATCCATTCAGAAATCTCTCATTCCACACACATGCAATCTGATGCAGGAACTCGTCAAGACAAGATTCAGTGCCTTTCTAAATGATCTTTTCCTTGGAGTATATCCACTTGGATAAATAAGAATTTTGAGATCAGGCAAGATAATACTATGATCTTGGATGATTTTCAGCTATGACTAAGCTTAGGAGTCCCAGAAGCCATTTTTACTAGTAACCTTTATAACTCTCACTGGAGTTGCAGTGGCAGATCACTTATACAAATGCTTTTCCCAGCAGAAAGGAGGACACATTTGTCCTTTTCTGAAAGCTCAACTGTTTGCTTCCAAGAGACCTGACAGCTGACTTACCAATACTAAATTTCTCAGGTACTAAACCGCTGAGATGAAGTTCTCCCCAACTGGAGAATGAATAAAAGGATGAAGAATTGAGAAGCCTGAGGATCAGAACTGTATCATGATACTGAAGGATCAAGGGCCATGTGCTAAATGGCAAAGGTATCAGGAAGATGGACACTTTCAGACACATGAAAATTTACAGACTCAGAAACATGGCTCCAAGTACTTTTTACTATACTGTACACTTTTTAATAATTTCAGCAACATATAAAATAATTTTTAATATCTTAGTATGGAAAAAGCTAATATGAATGCATGAAGTTCTACTTCAAAGTCACAAATATGCACTGAAATGGCATTGCTAGCTTTTTACATCTTTGGCTACACCTTAACTAAAATGTGCTAAGTACATTAATTTATTAACACAATTCTCTCAGGCACATGGTGTGATTTTTGGGGCTGTCCTGTGCAGGGCCAGGTATTGGACTTTAGTGATCCTTGTGAGTTCCTCCCAACTCAGGACCTTCTGTCATTCTATGCTTACTAAGAAAATTGAAACTCATTTTGATTTAATCTGTGTGTACAAAGCTGAAACAGATACCTTGTCATTCACCTTATCGAGTACACTTTTACTGAGATCAGGAACCTTGGTCAGACCATTTATGCATGCACACAGTAGCCAACACATTGAGCTTCAGGATCAAAACTTCGTTGTATTAAAACTTCACAAAGTGCCAGGTTTCTTCCACATCTGAATAATCAAAGTTGCATTTTAGTGACATCACTTAGACAGAAGATTACTCCATGCATGAATAATCTTTATCACAACATGTGGCACAAGAGTAAAAATGCGTGCCATTCATGCAAAACATCACCGCACTTTTCATAAGATACCAATATGGCCACTTAGGTCTTTACAGGGCTGTTTTATTTCTGTGCCAATTTGTATCAGAACCCAGTGGACTGGGGTTTAGAAGACTTGTGTGGACAGGGACAGAGTCAAATGAAATCAATTGCAGCCATGGAGATCTGCTTACAGAAGCAGGGCAGGAGGCACCATGTCTACTTCTGTCTGGGCATGTAGTACATCACAGATATCAATGAAAACAAACTCAGCTTTTGTATAGACATGATGCCTATTTTTACTGTCAATGTTTTAATGCCATTAGGTAACACAAACCAGAACTCAAAACATTTTTCACAGTGTTCCAAGACCCACTGTGTACTGAGTCTGTTCAGTGTCTACAGCAACTTTTATAGAATGTGTTTTGTCTTTCTAGCATAAACAAACTACCATCAGCTTGTTTCAATATATACAGCTTCTATGTGCCATGATTCCTTGTCTTACCTCCTCCATCTCTGAAACATCCAAATGCCTCACAATACATTTGTTTTTATTTTAACAGGAAGAATATAAAGAAAAAAGTTTGAAAACTTGCAAAATAATGCTGGCTATTAATATACTTGAAGCAGAGTGTAGGCTTGAAGAAAGTCCTTTCACACCTTAGGCCAAACTTCAAAACTTCTGCTCCTTTCAAGGTAAGCTGCTGGAATGATGTGTTAAGCACTAGCATAAAAATCAGCAGAAACTACATATGCTGTCAGAACTGAAGTGGTGTGAGACCCACCCCCGTCCCCAAAACTAATGTAATTCAGCCAAATTAATGGAGTTCACCCAGACTCTGCATCAGATTGATAATGCTCTACCATCACAAATCTCAACTGATACCAAATATTTTTAAAGTGGAAGGATTATGTTCTGCAGCTTCTGATACCTTAACTTTTAAACTTATTTTACTGGACACATTTTCTCCAGCTGTCAGTAGCATTATATGTAGGGTCATATATACTTCAAACAGATTTCTTGATTTAAACGTGCTAAGTTGGCGGAAAGGAACAATCTTACATTTCCTAAACTTGTTTTACCACAGTTAAACTACTTCAGGCTCTCCACTGAAGTGAGACTTGCCCAGCTTCCCAAAACGCACTGAAGAGCTGGGGTTGCACTGCGACTGTGTGCTTTGGGTCAGTAACACCTGCACGGACCACGCCTCCAGGTAAAGCCAGTGCCTTGAGCGAGCTTGTCAGAAACCCGAGGAGGGGCGTTCACCCGTCGACGCCTCCAATCCTTTACAGTAGCAGCAAATGCCACCCCAGGACCAGCACACAAGGTCGCACACGTGCCGCCCAGGAGCCCTCCGGAGCCTTTCCCCTTGTGCCCGAGCCCCACTCGTGCCGCATCCAGCCCCGCGCTCCCCGGCCGCAGCGGCGCAGCGCCGGAGCGACGGCCGCCAGGGCCGGCGGGGGAACGCCAGCGCCCTTTCGGCGGCGGGCTTTAAAAGGCAGCGGAGAGGCCCCGTGCCTCTGTCCCCGGCAAGCCGCCCGGCGCCAGGAATAACTCCTTGGAGCGAGGCGGGGACCAGCCCCGCTCCGGCCGCACAAGCCTGGCTGGACCTGAGACCTAGGATCCCTCCCCACCACGTCCAAGCCGCGGTGTTTCTCCAACCCCTCGCCCACCCGCTCCGAGGAAGGGAAGTGGCAGAGGGGCGCCACTTACGCGGCCCGGACCGGCTCCTGCGGCGGCGGCGGGCTGCGCGGAGCTGTGCTGGCAGCGGCGGGGCTCTGCCGGCAGCCAAAGCCGGGGCGCTCCTCCCCTCAGGGAGCCCCCCTGCCCGGCCTTCCCACACGTGCGGGCAAACCCCACCCTGCCGACCCCCTGCCCGCCCTTCCTTCTTCTCCTCCCTTCAGTGGCCGGGGCAGTGCGCTGGCGGGGGCGCAGCGGGGATGGGAGAATTCCCTAAAAGGGTCAGACCGCGTTTCCCGCAGCGTGGCCCGGGGAAGGGAGGCCGGCCAGCCCCGGCACCGCGGTCCCGGGGCCTGTGCCGATACCGCCGCTGCCCCCGCCCTCACAGACCCCCTGCACCTCCGCGGGAGCGACACTGGAGTCCCACCCGCGACGCCCTCCCACTCCTCATTCCCAGCAGCCACGGGCTTCTCTAACCTTGCTTTGTCCCGAGTGGTTTGATGTCCGCACGCGAATAGCCCTGGCAGGGTGTCATGAATGATACGCCCTCAGAAACAATTTTCCCCTTAGCTTCATAGGGGTGAGCCGGCGGGTGGGTGAGTGCCTGCCCTGGCTTTGCGCTGGGACAGCAGGAGAGGCTGCTCCCGGGCCGGCCGCTTCCCAAACGCCCTTTGCCGCTGCTGGATCTAATTTCCGAGGCACCTTTCAGAAGCGTGTGGTGGGATTTTGTAAGGAAGCTCTGGACAGTGGTGGAAACGAAGGTACAGCCAGCCACCCTGTCTGTCCTAGCAGATAACACTTTCTATGTTTTGGGAGACATCATAGGTGACATTTGTCTGAGAGCAGCAGAAAGTGCTACAGGATGGGTACAAGTACAATGCAGCTTCTTTTCATTCTAGTGTTGTCAAGCACTGCCTTTTCCTAAAAGCTTTGTCATATTTGTTTGAGATACCTGGAACTTGGGAACTCTATCTGTCCGCAGATTGAAGAGTTTGTGCCTCCCTCTTCTTCAGCCTAAATAATTCAAATCATTTCTCTCAGCCAGATATCTTTAAAAACTCCTTCTAACACTAAGAATAGCCTTAGGCTAAGAATAGCTACTGCTAAGATTAACATTGAGAATAGCTAGAATAAATCTTACAGTCATCATCTTTTTCACTCTGCGTATATTCTACTTGCATAGGTCCTTTCCTTTTAACACTATAATCTGAATCACCCAGTTGGTTCAGGGCGGTGATTATCCTACTCTGCTCTGTGCTGCTGCAGCCTCACCTAGAATATTGTGTGCAATCTTGGGCACCAGAATATAAGAAGAATATGAAGCTATTAGAGAGTTGTTCAAAGGAGGCCTACAAAGATGGTGAAGGGAAGGCATATGAGGAGAGGCTGAGGTCACTTGTCTGTTCGCCTGGAGGAGACTGAGAGGAGATGTCATAGCAATCTTCAACATCCTTATGAGAGATAGCAGAGGGGCAGGTGCTGACCTATTCTTTCTGGTGACCCAACAGGACCTGATGGAATGGCCTGAAGTTGTGTCAAGGGAGGCTTAGGTTAGATATTTGGAAAAAAAATTCACCCAGAGGGTGGTTTGGCACTGGAATAGGCTCCCCAGGTGACAGCACCAAGCTGTTTGAGTTCAAGGTGCATTTGGACAATGTCTCAGGCACAGGGTGTGACTCTTGTGGCTGTCTTGTGCAGAACTGGACTGTGATGATCCTGGTGGATCCCTTCCAACTCAGAATACTCTGTGTGATTCTATGAATACATCAAATCCTTGGACACACCTTTACAAATTTTGGCTATGGATCTTCTCATCTCTTTTTTATGATATATATGGGGTGGGTGTATGTACATGGATATGTAAATATATACATTATATGTGCATATACCCACACACATGCATCCCTACTTTCAGGAACTTCCTTTCAAAAGTAGCTTAAATTCCATCTTTAATCTGGCTAGGTTTTGCCTTTCTCCTTTGACAGGGGAAACCCTTTCAGAACTGTAAATCTAAAAGAAGTCACACATCTGCAACTCTGATTGAGTTCTAATTCTGTGAGTCTCTTTCTTCTTGCAGAAGAAGATCATGTAGAGGGCCAATATGACAAGATAAGAAGAGCAGAAACATATTTGGGGGTTGACTGATGACTTAGCACTTCATAAGTGAATTTATGACTATAAATTAAGTTATTCTCTGTTTATTTACAGAAAAATAATCATGGAACATTCTGTTAAACAGTCATGTTGTGTTCCTTTGTGGTTGGACTCCTCTTACATTTAAATTCCCATTAGAATTTTCCATCTTTCATTTTCTGAACATTTCAGGTACAGTGTCATCAGTCTACTAAGAAATAGCTACATCAGTAAGATAAGCAATACAGTGAAGATTTTTTTTCAGTATATCCGTCAGTTTTTGGGAGAAATCATGTGACTAAGGGGCAGCCTATTTAGCCAAAACATTAGCAATCAGAAAGTTATTTGTCTTTGCCCTTCCCATGTGTGCAGATCAACAATTCTGCCTAAATATTCCAATCCATATCAGGAAGTTATGTATGTGCTACATAAAATCTTCTGAATACTACTACTAATTACTAATTTTTGAGTATTTGGATTTGTAAACACAAATGTTTCACTAAATGCTCTATATATTGCATCACATGTGAGAAGTCAGATGTGAAAATAATTAAGCGCAACAAAATAAATGAGTCTCTCCAAATCTATGGTACAAAATTATTTTTGTGAAATTTCCAGTTACCCAGCATATTCTTGCTGTACTGTATGTGCTTTTATTACATGAACATGAAATTATTATTCTCCATCACATGTTTTAGCTGAAAAATGCAAGGAAATTTTTATCATGTCTACAAAATGAAAACAACTATTCATCCTCTTTCTTTCCCTCACCTTCATCTTCTACCTGAGTGAAGCAATTGAAACCCAAGACTGTGTTCTCATATTGAAAATTCTGATATTATCCACTATTGATGTGTTAATTTCACCTTTCTGTTTTCACTGTGGTTTTGTGTGTAATTGTTTCTGTTCTGAGTATTTATTGTCCTGTGTGTCCTATTAACAGGAGGAAATGTTGAAGAGATAGTACTAATATACTTAATGAACATATAGTAAACTTAATCCCTTGAAGTTTAAAGATGTACTTGTGAGCTGTTCTGGCTGGTGACGTGGGGGGAGCAGGCTAAGCTCCCCTCCTCCTTCTTCATCACCTAGCTCATGGCAAAGGTATTCATAGACAGTGGTCCTTTGAGGAATGCAAATGCTGTAAAAATGAAGGCATTCTTACTTGCAAACAGATTAATGCTAATATGGCCATGACAGAATTATGTAGCAGAGCAGAAAGTTCATGGGGATGAGAATGGGGATGGGAACTGTTTTGGCTGCCTGGACTACATTTAACAATTAGATAACTAAGAACTTATATTTTTCAGGATAGATGGTCCTTTAAACTTTTAAAATACAAAACACAGAGGGGGGAAAAGTTTGCAAAGGAGAAAAAAGCCAAGAAGTATTTTTAATCCACATTAATAAATAAAAACCACTGTATTTTATTAGACTGAACAATAACAAAAAGTCATTTAAATAAATCATGGGAAAGTAGTGTATCTCTGTAAGTAATAATTACCCATCTGTAGGGAAAAAAGAAGTATGAAGATTTAAAATAATATTTCCATGAACACTGGATAACAATTTTTAACAGTTGGGGATTGATTTTCTTTAGAGGACTTGTCCATGTAGAGTCAAAAATGAATTATTGCTAGGAAATAATTAATTTCCCCACTAGGAAAAAAGTTCTAGTAGGACTTGATCCTCAGCTGCCTAAAGCAGGCTTGCCATTTGAGACTTCAAGGGGGTGTACCAAGGGGAGTGTAAGGGGGAGTGGCAGGAGAGCTGCAATCATCTCCTGTTTTCTAGTGGACAACACTGAGGTAACTAATAACTACTTCCATCAATCTATGGCAAGTCTCAGGCATTGAGCAACAGAGTCCATGTCAATGAAACTTTTGAAAGTAGAAGGAACTGCCAAGAAACTTGCCCAGACTCATCAGCAAAGAAAACATACTTTTTGTTTCAGTTTTTAGTAGGTTGCTGACATATTAACCACTGCTTAGCAGTCTCTGTTTGCAGGCTCAACACAATCTCTTCTGGGATCAGAATTTGCTTAAGTACTTAGGGTTTGATTAGCCATAATGAATCACATGAGTGGCCTCAGTAAGATAGTATTAAGTGACCTGCTGAAGCTGAACCAGCAGCGTGCGTTTTGGCCCGCTTAGAGAAAGAAATATGCCTTATGGGATTGTGAGGGTTGGCTTCTTCTCATCTCTTCTACTTTTCCACATGACCTGTGCAAGGAATTGACACCTTAATTTGTTTGAGAGAAGTTAAGGAGGTAATCTCTTAAGTTGGGGTAGTGATTTTGGGTTTTGTCTTTCATGTCTTTTTCTAAGACATGAAATACCTGCAAGTTTTTCAATCTGATCTATGTGAAGCTGCTAGTTAAATTCAGAAATTGTATGCACTACTTATGCATTTATGCATCACACGCATTACTCAGTGGAGTACAGCACAAAATTAGCATCTGCCAATGCAGGCTTGTCTGGTAAGGGGAGCAGCAGAAAGGGAGCTACAATGTGTTGCAGCAGAATTTAAATGCTAAAGCTTAAATATGGTCCTGCAAAAGTGGTGCTGTTGGGTACTGTTACTGTCATCAGTTCTGCAAGCTCAGAATAACTTCTGAACCATAAACTTTTTTTCTTTCCCAGCGTCAACAGAACCCATAGACTCTATGATTTAGTGTCCTCAAACACTCATCTGTCATGAAGAGTCCAAGCTTTCAGTTTAGAGGGAAGAAAGTACCTTGCCTGTGATTTATAAAGAAATTATGAATATCCAGATATGAATGCTGTCTCACTGAGCTTCTGGGATTCCTGAAAAAAAGTTCTCAGTTGACAACAAACATCTGCATAAAGGTTTGTATGTTTCTGTTTAAAGGATACTAAGGTTATCTTTTAACAAGTTTTTTATTCTGGATTCTGGTAACTATTTATATAGAGATTTGTGGCTCTGCTATTATATTTTTCCTGATATGTGAATTTGGTTCTCCAAAAGTCTAGAGTCACTTTAACACTCCATGCCAGTTGTGTACTGGAGACACATGAGAAACATGATCTTCTCTACATGTTTCAGTCAGATAGATAATTTTAATGCCAAAGGCAATTCTACATCACTGGTCTTTAATTAACTAACTAATAGTCTATTACTTTGATGTTCACCATATATTTTAATTTCAGTTCAGCAGTTTTACACTGTATCCTTGAGCTACTGCTCATCACAACCTCCAGCTCTCCTAAATCAGTTTCTGTGGTTCAGCATATCTCTGCTGCTCAGAAAACTGACCACATTTTTTTAAAAGAGAATAAAGTAATAGTTTTAATCAGCTTTCCCAGGAAAATTTCACTGACCTTTGAGTTGCTGTGCAGTCCCTCAAACAGCTATTCTTCCCCTTCTCTGTGGCCGAAGATGTAAGAGAAGAACTTCCCACAGGAAAAGGGTGGGAGAGAGCAGCCAGATGTGAAAGACTTAAACAGCCCTTCTGCCCTTGCAAAAGAAAGAGTATAAATATATA